CTTTTTAATCAGCAGTGCTTATCGATGTCTTAATTTTTAAAATTTCAGTCTGATAAGGTTTTTTTTGTAGGATTCTCAGAGGTATACAGTTTATTCGCAGCGACCAGGCTATATTAGACAGAACGATTATTATTCATCGTATAGGCCTGATCTACCGCTATATCCTGCAACCACATCTGGAGCACTGGTACTGAAGTCATCGTATCGTCCAGAACGCCCAAGTTTCCTTTCTCGGGAGACTGCCGGATGGATCAGGAAAAAAGTTGTTGCGCCATTGTATTTTTAAATCATATTTAGTGGTACTTTCATGAGAAAACAAAAAAACTTGCTTTTTTTTGATAAAAGAAGTGTTGCTTTTTTTGCTATTTTCTTCCTTTTTACGATAATTGTTTCGATTTTATGGTTTCTTTTTTATTTTTTTTTTTCCATTTGGACAAATTTATTGTTGTCAGTTATAAAAGTTAATGAAAGGATTTTACTTTGATTTTTTTTCTCGTCCAATAAAAATTATTATTTAGAGAGAAGCCAATGATCGTAATGGAAGGATCAGTTATCTGTTGGGTGAAATGCGTCCGACACAAGGCTTTCGAAATCGTTCACTGTCGCCATCAGAAAATCTTCTGAAGCGCAGGTCGTTGGATTCAAACTGTATTCGAGCCAATTCAAACAGTGTATTAAATACCGATTTGAGTTCCCCGAACACTGCATCGGCCAAAGATTACTACACTTCAGAAAGCAAGCAGTATAAAGGGTCTTTTTTTTTCTGCTGTATTTATTTGATTAGTTAGTCATTCGGTGCTGAAATAATATTTTTTTTGTATTGGTACTTCTTATATCATTATTTTTTCACAGACTAAACAGTATTGCTGAAATGAAGTCAGTTGCTTAACTGGGTGTCATTCTGTTAGCATTTGTTACAGTTTTCCAGCTGCGCTAAATTTGTCAGTCATTTTCAAATTTTGGCAAATTTAAATTGGTGTAGCAAATTGATTATAAGGAATTTTAGCCTAACTGCTCAACTGAGTCCTCGTTTTTCGCCATCCGCTCTTGATATGAAAAGATTGGAACCGTTTGAACCACCCGCTCGAAGCACTGGTCAGCAGCAGCAACCAAGTACTAGCAGAGCATATAGTGAAGTAAGTCCAAAAACAGTTGTAAAACTTGCATCACCAGATTCTTGGATTAGCACAACTCAGATGTCACCGATATCTCCAACAGTTCCTCATAATTTTACGTCTTGTTGGCGGCAAACGAAGCCTCATTCATTGGTAACTGGTTATTTTGCATTTAAAATTTCTTTG